GCGGCGGGGCGGGGGTGGAGTGAGCTGCGTGCACCGGCTTGACATAAAAACAGACACACACACACTCTCTCTCTCTCCCTCCCCCCCGCCTTTTAAATGAAAGTCAGGAGAGCAGTCCGAGTGGCGGCTTGGAGAGACGGGGGACTTGCAGGCATCCCCATCAGACCCTGCTCCGGAAGGCAGATGCTTCCAGTGTGCTGCTGGGCTGCAAAGCTTTTCTCTTGCTCTTATGGCTGGTGGTGGGTGGGAAAGGGCTCTTGTGCCTTTAAGAGTTGTGTGACATACTTTTGTTGTTGTTTAGAATCATAATATTTATGTCACTTGGGTATTGGTGGCAAGACTACGTGGCCCGTGTGTCTGTCTTGGACCTGGACGAGGAAGGGACAAAGGGAAAGGCTGGCAGTGTGGCCCTGAGCCTCCAAAGTGGTGAGGGCGCCTTTTCATTGCGACCCTCGGGCGGCAGCAGAGTCTCTTTCCTGTGCATCGAGGGGCTGCTGGACTGGGAGTGCCGCGCGCAGCCTACAACCTCTAATTGGTGGCCATCGACTTGGGTGATCCGCCCCTTTCCTCTGGTCTTCCGCGTGGCTGACCTGAACGCAGCCTCGCTACCGAGCCACCATTTCCGAGGCGGCCTCACTTGGAACCGTCGTGCTCTGCCTCGGACACCGATGAAGCCGGCTCCCTCAACGCCCAGACAACTGATGACCCTCCCTCCTGAAATTTGAGAGAGCAGCACCCATGCTTGATCTATGCACTTCCCTGCCCAGTGTCAGAGGGTCTGGCTTCTTCGGTAAAAATAAAAATAGCGCCCATGTAAACAGAGTCGTGACTCCTGCCTCCGCAGCATGGAAACAGGGAGAATCCCTCATAGTGCTGGAGAAAGACAGTCTTTCTTTAGGTCTGGGAGAGAGAAAATCCTCATTCTTATGAGTTATCAAACCTACAAGCAGGGGTTCCTCTCAGAGCACTAGAGAAAGGCGTGTTTTCTTTAACAGTAGGAATACGTTGTAATATCTCTGCTGCTTTATTTCTAAAGTACAGGTTTACATTATCCTTTTTTTTCTTTTGAGAGGCATATAGCGATAATGTTATGTGTACCTCTTATTTGTCTTAATGTGTTCTGCTCTCCTCTTCTCTTTATGTATTAATTCAGCCCAGCAAGGTTTAGATTCTATCAGAAGTACTCAGGCATGCAGTGGGCCATTGACAACTTCTATCCTGGACCTGGTTGTGTAGTGTCTAATCAGAAAAGGTACTTTTTGGGGGGCTCCCATCCCCAGCATCTGGCAGATCGCATAGGGTTGTCTGCTTG